CGTGGGAATTGGCTGTTCGTCCACGGTGACTTGGAATATGGCCCAAAAGGACCCCCATTCCTCGCGTCTTCCGCTAAACTTGGGAAGTTGTAGCCTGGGCAGCATTGATTGCAGCTGGGCGGACGGTGGCGGTGTTGTCCATCTTGACGATTCGTTGGATGCCTGAGGTGTGTTGACGGCTTCGAGTTGTCTCTCTCTTCTTCTTGCCGCTTGGGCGAAATTATCCAGTCTGGAGGATTCTGTCTCCTTTTCGTCCAGTTTGTTAAGAAGGGAGAGTGCCGTCGCTGTTAAATCCCAAGCGCGGTCAACGTACGTCTCTTGGGATGTTCTTTCTTCTTGCTGGGAGTTGTTGTCCAACGAGCTGAAGGCTTCCTGATAACTAGAGACCGCTGTCTCTAGTGCTGCTTTGGTTGTGGTTATGTTGGTGTGGCGGTGCTGTATTGATTTTATCCTGGTTCGTAGGAGATCCATTGACTCTTCTTCGTTCTCCGTGATGGGGATTTCGAAAGCTACCATATGTTGGGAGCTTTCTATCAGCTCTTCCAGTGTGTTCTCCACCTTCGTGATCCTTGTTTTGTGCGGCTTTAGCGACGGTCCCATCCTGTCTTGGTTCACTGGTCCTTGACGTCTTCGTTGGCTCCAATCGATTTCGCAATTCCGCTCGGCCTGATCTTCGTCAGTGGCCGATGCACCAGAAAAATTTTTGAATTGGGTCCCGGGATACCAAAGGGGAAAAGGGAGGGGGACCCCGTACTCAAAAATAATGACCGAAAACTCGAAAAGAAGAAAGAAAAAGGAAGTGAAAGGGTTACTCATATCCCACCTTTCACCCGCTTCGTTGAAACCGAGTCTTCGGATCCCTGAGAGCTTCGTGTGCCACGCGGGTCTTCCACAATTGAGGTTGGGGCGTGAACACTCCTTGGGTAATTAAACCCTTTATTGATCATTAATCAACAACAACAAAACATACGAGGCAAAATACGAGGCGTAAAGCAACTCTAGTCGAACGTTGAGTATCGTAGTTAGCACCAGTAAAAGGATAAACACTACACGGCAAGTATAAGGCACAATGACCTGAGTACATGAGAAAAAATAGGAAAATAGCAAATAAACTCAACAAATAAGATATGAACGCAACTGAGTAATAGAGAAGCAGCAGATAAATGCAAAAAAAATGAACCGGAGCAAATGAACCGAAAATATGGGGCAAGTATGAGATGCAAACAATGAGGACAAAAGCATATGTGCCAGTACTACCTCGGAGTTATGCTAGACGAGTGACAGCAAGGTTGTGAATCAACGGCCGACGAAGAAATGCCAGTTGAGGAGATCCGAGGTCGATCACTTTGCGATGCTCCTCGGCCGCGGCCTAAAATACTTGGGTTTTGGCGCGCGGTAGGTCAACAGGGGGTGCTGAGGCCGGGGGTCAGATCCGGCCTCAACACACTGGACCCTCCTTCATTCATGGGGCTAGGGATAGGTGGGACGCAGAAAACTCTGTCGGAGCACTCGAAAGGGTCCAATGTATATTATAGAAAGGAGTGAAAGCACCAGCGGGACCTAAATACACAGGCAAAAGCAAAGCTGTTGCTAGATAAACGCTTCCAAAAGTACCAGCGAGACCAAGTTACTCACGCACTCTCGTTTACGCGCGGAAGCAAGACAATCCTTAAGTGACTGTTCTTACCTCTTTTTCTGTTTTTAACAAGAGCTGAGAACACAGACGAATTTAGTTCATCACGCTGTTACGATTGGCATCATTTCAAAAGCAACTAATAGGGGTACAACATATTTGAAAGACACATTCTGGGATAACCAGCTCGAAGAAAAGCAGGTACAAATAACACACCCAGACACTGGCGACCTAATCTCAAAATCATTGCGACAGTCACGATTGCCTTTCGAAATACGTGTGCCCCTTTTACGAAAATATGCTTGGTCACTCGTTATAAAGTTTGGCAGCGTTCCAAAACTCGCATGCCACTTGGCAGCAATCCAAGAATGAACATCTGTAAATTTCATAGTTTCGCAATCTCCTTTCCGATTACGCGGGATACTCAGTGGTGCTATTTCATAATCCCTGTCGATCTCTGTTGCTACCAAAGGGGGGCGCCACGCCGCCCTCACTTCTCTTCTATGTATTTCTTTTTCTTATTCTTCTATGTATTTCTATTCTTATTCTTTCTTCTTCTATTTGTTTCTTCTGTTTCTATTTCTTCTCTGTTTTAAAGTCTTTATTCGATATTCGTTCATTCGATGAATTTCCGTTCGTTACAACTATACAGGATAGTTTAATTACCCAAGTTTAAGGCTCACGTATGCGCCCCGTGAAAAAGCAGCGGCAGCCTTTGGATGAACGACTATTTTACCGTGGAGAAGCTGTGAAAATAAGCAAATGAATGAATCGCTTGAGGGTGCAGGCAGGTGAGCTGTGAAAATAAGCAGACCTTCCTTTCAGACTAGAGCTGAAGTTTCAAATCCAGATTGAACTGAAGGCTTCGGGGACTTTGAATGCTTTTAAGCGAGTCCCACGAGAAGAACGCGTACAAGGTTAAGTATCAGCCTTATTTCTTCTAGGATCAAGAAAATGCGTATTGCTTCAGCAGGGAGGCCACCAACGAAATCACCTATGCATGCGAACTACCTTGAGGAATTGGATTTGCTCCATGTTCCTTGACTTCAACTTCATCCATGCTCGCTGTTTGATCTAACCGAATTCGCGGGTGACGCACCCAGCATGTCATCCAACACAGGTGCTATCCATTCCTGTGCAAACGCAAAAAAAGTTCGTTTCTCGCTTCATGTCTTCGAGAGTAATTCCACTTTTGAGCGATTTGAACTACAAAAGCGTAAGCAATAGTGATGTGGAAAACTCAACTTCTATAGCAATCTCTCCATTGCCTCTTGCGTTGCATTTACATCTTAAACACATTCCTTTCAAGAAAAAACGTACTCCGCACTTTCTGCAGTAATTATTGAAAACGCGATCTGAGTTGTAAATGCGATATTGTGAAATAAAATTCGATGCAAGAAAGCTTGCTCACCCTTCTTGTCGAGCGAAATGTGCTGCAACATGATCCATTACAGAAACAATGGAAAAACTCTTGTTCTTCAGGCACCCTTCAAGTTTACATCAAAATCGTAGCTGTTTTCCAGGCGGAATAGCTATTGCATTGGCGTCCAACGATCTCGAATTTGCTTCCTCCATCCTCATAAAGTCCTTTCAAGCACATGCCAACTACCTGTATTGGATTTGCTCCATGTTCCTTGACTTCAGCTTCATCCGTACTCGCTGATGTTCGAGATCCGACCGAATCCACAGGTAGTGCACCCGTATGTCATCCATCACACGTACTATCCATTTATGTGCAAACGCAAAAAAGCTCGCTTCTCGCTGCATGTCTTAAGAGTGATTCCACTCTTGAGCGGTATGAACCCTCCGCCCCCTCTCGCGTTGCATTTACATCCCAAACATATCCCTTTCAAGAAGAAACGTAATCCGCACTTTCTGCAGTAGTAGTTGAAAACACGATCTGAGCCTTTTGTCGAGCGAAATGTGCTGCAGCATGTTCCACTACAGAAACAATGGAAACTTGTTCTTCAGGCACCCTTCAAACTTACATCGAAATCGTAGCTGTTTTCCAGGCGGAATAACTACGGCGTGGCGTCCAACGATCTCGAATTTGCTTCCTCCATCCTCATAGAGTAAGCTTCATTGCGTTTGCATATACATACGCACATAGACGGATTGACTTCAAATTATGCATAAGCGGCAAACGCACACTAAAAGAATTTTGCAACTATTGTCCACCACGTCTCATTTACTAGTAGACATCCTCTTCTTGACAGCATTTTCGACCTGCGCCATCTGAACATTGTATTCCTCTATGAGCACACTGTTTTTTGATGATTTCGAGCAACTCGCAGAATAGAAAGTTTACCTTGTTTGCGGAAAACGCAGCTACCAGTTCCTCCACACCTTCTAATTCTTTCAATGTCGATGCTATATTAGCAGCATGTAAGGACTTGGACATATACGCCAGTGTATTTCCTAACGCTCCTTCACGATCAGCCTTGTTAACCTGCAATGGAAGCAAACTGAAAATGAGATTAAATTGTCACTTTCTTCGAATGAAACCTAAGTTTTCATAGACATGCCTGATTTGAAATAAGTATGTCTCATCAGGAACCCTTAAGAGGCAGGCTTTGAACAGATTATGAGATAAATGTGTTTGGGTTGCACGCAATAAGAACAAGCCTCAAAATATTGCGGGAAGATGATGAAGAGCAATGCGGTCAATTCGGTTGAAACAATGCGGTCAATTCATCCAGCTCCCTTTTGACGATGGCTTTATGGATAAAAGAGAGAGAAAATAATCGGACTTGAAAGATATAGCGATTTCACTAGAGCAGCTCAAAAGCAGACTTACCTCGTTTTTTCGACTCAGCTAATAACTTATCTGCTTTCTCGATACCAACGCGATTACTCCCTGTGTACCATCAGCGCTGAGATCATAAGATGATAACCACTTCGTTCATATTTGCATGCCACTCGAAAGTGAGGAGCACAATCTTATCAGAACTGCGCCAATCGTGCTTAAATCTATAGATTACTGGAGCAGACTCAAGGTTAGCACCATCATGAATTTTTGACCAATGGAAAACAAATCGATGCATGTTTGGCTAAGTCAAAGTCATAATTGCAGAACAAAACACTACAGCTGTAACTATAAGAAAACTTTTGACGAATGGAGGTGATTTCGTTGGTGGCCTCCCTGCTGAAGCAATACGCATTTTCTTGATCCTAGAAGAAATAAGGCTGATACTTAACCTTGTACGCGTTCTTCTCGTGGGACTCGCTTAAAAGCATTCAAAGTCCCCGAAGCCTTCAGTTCAATCTGGATTTGAAACTTCAGCTCTAGTCTGAAAGGAAGGTCTGCTTATTTTCACAGCTCACCTGCCTGCACCCTCAAGCGATTCATTCATTTGCTTATTTTCACAGCTTCTCCACGGTAAAATAGTCGTTCATCCAAAGGCTGCCGCTGCTTTTTCACGGGGCGCATACGTGAGCCTTAAACTTGGGTAATTAAACTATCCTGTATAGTTGTAACGAACGGAAATTCATCGAATGAACGAATATCGAATAAAGACTTTAAAACAGAGAAGAAATAGAAACAGAAGAAACAAATAGAAGAAGAAAGAATAAGAATAGAAATACATAGAAGAATAAGAAAAAGAAATACATAGAAGAGAAGTGAGGGCGGCGTGGCGCCCCCCTTTGGTAGCAACAGAGATCGACAGGGATTATGAAATAGCACCACTGAGTATCCCGCGTAATCGGAAAGGAGATTGCGAAACTATGAAATTTACAGATGTTCATTCTTGGATTGCTGCCAAGTGGCATGCGAGTTTTGGAACGCTGCCAAACTTTATAACGAGTGACCAAGCATATTTTCGTAAAAGGGGCACACGTATTTCGAAAGGCAATCGTGACTGTCGCAATGATTTTGAGATTAGGTCGCCAGTGTCTGGGTGTGTTATTTGTACCTGCTTTTCTTCGAGCTGGTTATCCCAGAATGTGTCTTTCAAATATGTTGTAC